CATCTGCAATGCAGATCCTACAGAGGGGGATTAAAAAAACCCTACACACAAACCAAGCAGTGGTTTACGTTACCAGATGGAGCCAGGTATCCAACACGCTCTGCACCTTCAAACGCTCTGCCGCGCCACAGCAGACCCATGTCACCAGGGCAGCAGCCAGCCTGGCTCTCCAGAAATTAAATGAGAGCCACTGCCTGCTGCCCAGCAGACTCATACAAACACTAAGTGGTTCCTGGGCACCCAGCGCCGTGATCCCAGAGATGTCACCTAAGCACTATCAGATCCAGAGGCGTCTCCGAGATACCAGATAAGCAAGCAAGCAGCACGGGAGCAGGGAACATTGCTTCTCCCCTTGCAGCAAGGCTGCAGAGCACGACCTGCATGTGGGATGAGCAACGCAGGGATAACCACTCAAAGCTGGTTTTGAGAACTGATGTGCAGCTCTCCCTTGGTGGTAAGCTTTGAAGATGTAACGCTTACAGCCCTCGTCCAGGGACAGGGCTGGATATGTGCTTTTCTTGCAGGAAATTCCCAAATTGGCATTCAGCTACCGGGATACCAACCATTTGGGGACATGAAATGCCAGAAACTGCAGCCTCTGCTCCGAGGATACACCCATCAAAATCCTCCCAGGGCTGTTCTCAGGAACTGAGTAACGCAGCCCCACAAAGACTCCGACCAACTCGAGTTCACACTGCTGCCAGTTCCAATTAGCAACGTCCCGGAGCTTTACACATGCTCTTTGCAGCAGCCTGCCCGCGCTGCCCAAGCCAGTGCAGCTGAAGCCTTGACCGTCGACCAGCCCTTTATTTGCTATTCAACACCCCTGCGCCCACCCCAGCCCTGCCTCCGTCCACAGCTCCATGCTTTTCCCTTCAGCCCGTCCCTTGGAAACCTATCAAGTACCTTTGGTAAGCCGAGCACACTGTTCCTGCTGTTTTCACAGGGGTATCTCCACCGAGCTGTGGCTCCTTCGCTCGGCACAGCGGCCGACTCCTGAACTGGCTGCCCCCCAAAGCTGGCACTGCCCCTCACTCACTCCTGGCAGCAGCCTGCTGTCCCTGCAAACAGGAACTCGGTTATAGCTTCCAGGTTTGGGTGATGGCTCTGGAGCTGGATTTTCCATCTTCCCAAATCCAAAGAGCTTTTAGTTGAAGCATTTGAAAAAGGATTTGACTATTTCCCTCCCTGGGCCCTCCCCTGAGCTCATGAACACATGTATTTCTCAGTGGATGCACTGTCTGCTCTCAATGCACAGGGGCCCCTTTGTTTCTGGATCAGAAGTCAAGGCAGAAGGGATGGACAAGGCCACAAGCTCCAGGAATGCACCTTCCCCTATCTAACACAGCGGTTATTTGAGCTGACAAAACAGCAATGCCCTCATGTGCAGGGGGGTACTTGCACAGAGCCCGTTCCCAGGGGGCTTTTCTTTGGAAGACAGATGTTACAGATGTTTCAGCTCAGAGCATGTGCATGAGTTACACGACTTGTTCATTACTGCTTTTGAGTTCAAGTAAGAGTGCTGGTCTGCAACAAAGAGGAGATATTAAATACATCCTACTGGACGCCAAGAGGCCTCTGCAGAAAAAGAACAGGTGTCTGAAGCGTAAAAAGGTTTTTAAATATCCTGACAAAGAAAATAATCTGCCTGTGAGCACAACCCTTGCTGTTTGTTTGCATCCAGCTGTGGCTGATACTGCCTGTACTTGGTGCTTGCCAGCTAACTCCCCCTGCAGCAGCTCCAGCATCCAACACTAGGCAGACTAGAGCTGCTCTTTGGACCAGGCACCTTCATTTCCAATTACAGACACCATCCCACTTCCCCCTGTCCCACCATCAGTTCCTTACCATACAAACAGGCAGAGACCTTACTCCCGGTCTGAGTTTTCCAAGTGGCTTGCATATAATCCCTCATACCTGTTTCTCATAGAGAAGATCCCTCATGACCTGTAGCTTCCAAGCATGATGAATGCAGCAGTCACACATGGTTCCTCTCCATTTCTTTTCCCCTGCACACTAGAAAGATGTCCCATTGGATCTCACTGATGGTAGCAGGGTAAATCACATTTTCCTTCCACCGTGGATTCCCCAGGCATAACACACCTTACCTGGCTTCTTTAAGTATGCTCCATAACATACTCTCCTCCTCCAATTCATTATCATTACTGCCTCCACAGCATTATCAGCTTCTCAAGTTTTACAATACAAGGCTGTAAAATTCCACTTTTCAGAGTTATTTATCATCGCTGACTTGTCACCTATGTTTGTTCCACAGCTTCCCCCTCTGCTTTGCTATTTACGCACTGCAGGACTGGCCAGTTGTCCAGGCACCGTTCACACAAACTTTAAAAGCAGGCAAAACACAGGGCGAGCAGGGAGAGGACAAGGGTGTCCCAGCAGCCACACCACCCCAGGAGCAGGAAGGGCTGGGACACAGCAGACTTCAAGAAGCTGACTCTGTCCAAGCAGCACCTCTGAGCCCACATCCTCTGTGCCCAGGCTGCTCCTGACAAACGGCTAGGAGCTGGGCCTAAGAACTGAGCCCAAACACCTGAGAGCCACGGGCTCACCACCTCCCACAGAGGGGAGAGACCCTGAGGGCTCACACACTCCACCACCCAGAGCACTCCAACGGCAATCATGTATACATGCAGCAGGCATAGATATGTATACGAGGACCATGTTTTCCTATGAAGTCTTCTCTTTGGGAATGGTGGAAGATAAGGCAGCCACAACTGCCTGAAAACTCTCATTAAAGTCTCAAATCCAGATTCTGTAGCATGCAAG